AGCGCAAATTCCAGGTTTTGTTTACGTTTTGATCAGAACTTGTACAATCTCCTCCAGTCCTTAAGGGGTTTAAAGTGTAAAAACTATAGAAAAATAGAATTGCAGCATAGCATCCTACATGCCTTGCATCCACTCTTCTAAATTCATTTCATCAGAGCATTATTTGAGTGGCTGTCCACATTTGGATTGTTGGGCTTCATGTTAACGTTCATTCCAGAGTTTCAGGTTTGCATGTAGAGACAAATTTTAGAAGCATATAGTTAAGCTCTTATCTCCTCTCCTAGTCTTAATATTGGACTATTTTATTCCTTTTTTTAGATATTATACTTTATGCATTATTAGCATTTTAGAGTTCCTTGCATTGCTTAATCTTGTAATGATGGTGATTTTGCATGGTTACGATAAATACAATACAAAAGCTCAGTCACAAAGAAGGGGAAAACTATGCATCCCCCTGCCTGAATGTATACTGATATAATAAAAACTTGTTGGATTACTATTTTTATTATATTTTATTATAAATATTACAAAAATGTGTTTAATTTAGAATTATACATTTTACAAACTAAGTCTATGCAAAGATTCACCTTAGATTTCTTTTTCTGAAAAAAAACATCAAATAACTGTCAGAAGGCCAAAAACCTGGAGAGAGAACTGGATTGTCATGAGACACACAATTCAAGAGAAGGAAGACCTTCCATAATATGAACATTTCTAAACATGCTAAACATTGTCGAAGTTGGTACCGCAACATCCATAAGATGAAAAAGATGCATCTGTTTGGCATTACCTCAAGTTTCAACTGCCCTGACTGCCTGAATTACTCAAAAACCCAAAACATACAAAAAGGTAATTTTCTAAATCTAAATGGTTTTTTTTAGTAGGTTATTTGGCATCTCTTGGATTGCACTGTGTTTATTTTGCAATTTGTGTGGGCACCTGATAGTAAATTTCTAGTAATATATTCCTTCTGACAGAACCAAGGCAGTTTTTGAGCTTCCTGCTCATGGGAACACTAGGGAAGAACCGAGAGCAAGCATTGCTCAAGAGCTGTCTAAGGCTATGGAGGGGCGTTTCTGCCCAGGTAAGGAAAGTAAATGTATATTTGATGATCAAGCTGTGTTTTTTTTGTGAAAATGTTTTTATTGAACATTTTTTTGTTTGTTTCCAACATGGAAAGGAAAAACGTGGACTCGCAGGTCCCTTTGGTTATTTCTATATGCTTATACATCGTAAGGTACGGTCTGTCAGACGTGTATTGGCGACTCGCAGGTCGCTTTCTTGAATAAATGGCGTGTGTATGGTGGACTCGCAGGTCTGGTAGTTCATAGTTATGAATAGTACTCTTTTATGTTTGATGTGTACCATTTCTACGTTGGGTAGGTTTGTATCTCCCGCAGGTTTTCGTCTATTCCTCCGTGCCCACCCTGTAGTCACTAGGCAGTAGTGAGACATGTTGGCCTCCTAATGTGTAGGGTCCCATCAGGACACGCAGACCCCTGGTGACCTCGTGTCTAGAATCCTGAATGGCGGTATAGTTGGGTGTTGACCCCCTACTTTGGTACAATTCGGCTCTGCCCAGCGTTACATATGGTGTTGATGGGGATAACCTAAGGAACATCCTGCATTTCCGTCTAAACTAATAAACTTTGTAGCTCACGAAACTGGTGTGCTTCCACCCCCTGCACTTGCGAGGCCGTAGGCCATTTTGGGTATTGCAGGCGGCCGCACCCTGACTGGTGTCATAGCCCCCCCAGTACGCTCCCGTGGGGTCAGCCTCCGCGACGCTCCCCGGGCCCCAAAGCCCATGTTCCGCCCGGACCTGACAGGGGGTAGGGGGATGGGGTAGGGTATGGGAGTGAG